GTGTCTCAGATGTCCCCTCTTTATATGGTATAACTGTAGATGACTTATATTCTCTCTTATTTATGTTGTTATTACTAGTTTCACAATTCCTTTTATTTTTCTTTTGGCCTTTCTCAATCTTCCTAATGAATTTTAAAGGATAGTTATTTGACACCAACGCCTCTTCCATCTGTTTTATCTCATCATTTAGGTCTTTTTTTGTGCTACTTAGTGCTATTGCTCGGTTTGTTAAACACTTAACTAAGCCTGCCTTAACAGTTAAAGGATGAGATGAATTAAAGTCTAAATATCTATTAGAATGCGTTGGTTTTCTATAAACACTAGTGTGTAGTTTGCCTTCTTCTATTCGTTTTATTTTACAATCTAACATAGCTAATTCTCCTTGCTCATTTTCGGCTTCAAATGTGAATTTTATTCCCTCCACTAGTGAGTTTATGTGTGTCAAGAAGCTAGAGATATGTTCTGTTTTTAACACTGTGAAAGTGTCATCCACATACCTCCACCATATTTTTGGAGTAGGATTAGACGTATTAAGTGCCATATTTTCCCAGCTATCCATAAATATATCTGCTACGATAGGGGATATTGGTGATCTCATTGCTACACCTTCAGTTTGTCTATATATTTTACCTTGGAATTTAAATATAGTAGATGTGAGGCATAGCTGAATCCCTAAAATAATTTCTTCAATGGACAGCTTTGTCCTATGATTGAGTTCAGGATCCGCAGTTAGTTCTTTTTTAACTGCTTCTAAGGCCATATTGACTGGTATATTAGTCTAAAGACTGGTTATATCAAAACTAACCATTGTTACATCATTATCTAGTTGTATGTCATTTAGTTTATTTTTCATCTCATATGAATTAGATAGTCTAGAATTTGAACGATTTCTAATGGGGCATAATATTAGAGCTAAATGTTTTGATAATTCATATGTAGGGGTATTTCTAAAATCTACTATTGGTCTTATGGGATACCCTGGCTTATGTATTTTAATAGTACCATACATCCTACTAGCATTATTAGTTTTAGGCATTAAATTAAACCATTTTGTCACACAATTTGTCAAACTGAAGCAATATTCACAAATCATCGGATTTTTAACAGTCGATGTATGAAAAATCATATAATTCCGAAATATTTACGTCTACGTACTCCAATTACTTCAAGTAAAATAACATCAGCTGCCGCAAATGTCAGTAGATTATATCTAAGAGAAGAATTACATCGAGTTACTGTGAAACTAAATAATATACGAAATGAAATTGAAAAACTCAAACACAAACTCAAATATATGATCAATGACAAAGATTATATATTTATTCTTGAAACATCCAGAAAAGCTAGAGAAGCTGCATTAAGAAAATCAAAAACCACACAAATCAAAAAATTTAACAAACTTATTGAGGAAAAGAACACAGCAAATGAAATTGATGTCAATGCTTCATCCTCTATCGACAAAACAAAGTGGGTGATCAACCTCTCATCAAGGGAACTAAGCTCCAGTGAGATAAAGGTACCGGAGAAAGGACTAAATTTCAACGTAACAGTTAATAAATTAAAACCAGAGGATGTCATTCCTAACATAGAAGTAGCACTAGGTTCAATAGATAAGACAACAGCAGAAGAGGTTCGAGCACAATGTGCATTAACCCTAAAAAATCAAAAGAAGGCAAAAACAAACTTGACAAAATCGGAAAGAGAAGCTTTAATTAATCTAAAACAGGATAAAAATATTGTCATGGCAAAAGCTGAGAAAGGAAACGCCACCGTAGTTTTCAATAAATAAATCTGACTACATCACGAAAGTCACTGAACATATTGAAATGGGTCCATATGAGGAAATTAAGAAGCCCGTAGATACAATAATGAATAAGGTTAAAAAATCCACAGCGGAATTAGTACGCAGAATGAAGCCGTCACTGGGAGAGTCAGAATGGTTTAATTCAATGCCTAAAACTAATAATGCTAGTAGGATGTATGGTACTATTAAAATACATAAGCCAGGGTATCCCATAAGACCAATAGTAGATTTTAGAAATACCCCTACATATGAATTATCAAAACATTTAGCTCTAATATTATGCCCCATTAGAAATCGTTCAAATTCTAGACTATCTAATTCATATGAGATGAAAAATAAACTAAATGACATACAACTAGATAATGATGTAACAATGGTTAGTTTTGATATAACCAGTCTTTAGACTAATATACCAGTCAATATGGCCTTAGAAGCAGTTAAAAAAGAACTAACTGCGGATCCTGAACTCAATCATAGGACAAAGCTGTCCATTGAAGAAATTATTTTAGGGATTCAGCTATGCCTCACATCTACTATATTTAAATTCCAAGGTAAAATATATAGACAAACTGAAGGTGTAGCAATGAGATCACCAATATCCCCTATCGTAGCAGATATATTTATGGATAGCTGGGAAAATATGGCACTTAATACGTCTAATCCTACTCCAAAAATATGGTGGAGGTATGTGGATGACACTTTCACAGTGTTAAAAACAGAACATATCTCTAGCTTCTTGACACACATAAACTCACTAGTGGAGGGAATAAAATTCACATTTGAAGCCGAAAATGAGCAAGGAGAATTAGCTATGTTAGATTGTAAAATAAAACGAATAGAAGAAGGCAAACTACACACTAGTGTTTATAGAAAACCAACGCATTCTAATAGATATTTAGACTTTAATTCATCTCATCCTTTAACTGTTAAGGCAGGCTTAGTTAAGTGTTTAACAAACCGAGCAATAGCACTAAGTAGCACAAAAAAAGACCTAAATGATGAGATAAAACAGATGGAAGAGGCGTTGGTGTCAAATAACTATCCTTTAAAATTCATTAGGAAGATTGAGAAAGGCCAAAAGAAAAATAAAAGGAATTGTGAAACTAGTAATAACAACATAAATAAGAGAGAATATAAGTCATCTACAGTTATACCATATAAAGAGGGGACATCTGAGACACTACGTAGGATTCTAAATAAAGCAGGAACTAGGGTGGCAATTAAACCTACAATCTCACTCAGGGACAAGCTCTGTAGGTTAAAGGACCCAGTTGACCCAATTAGACAAAATAATATAATTTACAAAATACCATGCAATGACTGTGAGGTCAACTACATAGGTCAAACTAGTAGGTCAGGGGTAGTCAGATTGTCAGAACATAAGAATTTAGCTAAGGTAAGAATGGTTGACCCAGAGAAGATAAGTAATTTAGAAAAAAGCTCAGCAATTGCAATGCATGCATTAGCACACAACCACACAATAGGGTGGGAGAGGGTTAAAATTCTAAAAAGTAATCTAGGTAGGTGGAGAGGGAAGTTGATTACTGAATCCTTGTTCATCGAATCTACACCCAACACATGCAATAGGAATGATTCATCACTCATACCCGAAATATGGAAAATATTACTACCAATCAAATCAAGTGAAAAACAATGGAACTATATAAATGAATTTAGGAAGTCGTGTGATTACCTTGATATGATTATGAGCAGTAATAAATTGTGCTCGAAACATGGTCATCAGTAAACATTACTGTATAACACTGTGAGACTTTATCAAAACAAAATTTACCCATAATGGAATTACACTCTACCACAGTGCACAAATTTTATTCTTATATCAATGATACTTTTCAAATAGTTCGCCCAAAGTTATAGTTAAAGAAATACGATTAATTGTTTGCATATTATGATAGTTTCGAATCTCTCAAGATTCTGTTTTAGTCCTTTGTTATTGTGAATATTTGTTGTCAATAAATTTGAGAGATCGTGTTCAGAATTTTCCAGTTAATAAGTATGGGTTTTTATTAGCAAGCGGTATGCATATGGCTCAGTATCTTAAGAACTAAAGTTTTAAACGCCAGTTCATCTGTTCCTACTTACATAGCCATATATATATAGCCACATAAAGTGCAGTACAGTGATTCTAGACTAATGGTTTATTTAATTGCATTGTCACATGATCCATATTTATTCACTACAATATCTACTACATTAAGTTGGCCTTAGTGAAAAATTCTTTTCATACTATTCAACAACTTGACAGTAATAATCTTTCTCGCTTTTGATCATTGCTAATTGATGCATACTTATAGAGTGACTCCAGTTGTTAGCCTCATAAACCACACAGGTTTAAGATTACTTGTCGGTTAATAATGTCGTTTTTTGTGATACTGATTTTTTGTTTTCATTCTTCTACGTTCCCAGTGGAAAACAGGGCTTCAAGATATACATTTGGAGTTTCGGTAGCAGTGGTGTTTATTTTTTACGGGATGGGGTTGCTAGCCTTATGCCCAACCTCCCCTCTTTACCAGTCTTATTACTGGCTTAGCGAGGCAAAGAAGTGCGTCGACCGAGGACCGAAACCTGGACCACATGCCTGGTCGGCGATCATTCTACCGCTGTGCCACTGACACACTGTGTGATACTAATAAAATTTCTAAGCGTTGTCGTATACATGAGTTTACACATGGTCTAACTCACTCTGATTTCGCCACTGCGATCATCTAGGAATACATTCAGTTAATGTGAAGGACTGTGCGTCGGTGGCACAGCGGTAGAATGCTCGCCAGCCACACCTGTGGTTGGGGGTTTCATCCCCGGCCGACTCACTCCTTTACCTCACTAAGCCAGTAATAAAACTGGTAAAGGGAGAAGGTTGGGCGTGAGGCTGGCAACACCCTCCCGTAAAAATGAACACCATTGCTACCGAAACTTCAAGTGTATAGCTTGAAGCCCTATGTTCCACTGGGAATGTAAAGGAGTAAAAAAATATTTGAAGGACTACGCATATTTTGAAATATCTATTATTTCAGCCTCTAAAATACTAAAAATAAGTTCGTCAAACCTAAATTAACTTATTCTATTTTTGTAACATTGTTAAATCCTGTTTTTTTTTAAAAATAAAATTGATTTTTCAGACCAGAAGATTCAAGTTGAATCATGCAAGTTATGGAAAAGACAGTACTTCTATGTAATGCTTTATAATTCTAAGCATCAACAATCTCCTGATTATTTTAGCAGTGAATGTTCATTATTTGTTGGTGAGTTAACAGAAGATGTCGATGATCTTGCATTGTTTAATGCTTGTCGATCAGCTAAAGGTAACCTCAGTATAAATGTCTATTCATCATATATATATATATATATATATATATATATATATATATATATATATATATATATATTAATTTTCACATTAACAGTTGTAATGACAAATGGAAAATCCCGTGGATATGGATTTGTTCGATTCTTAACAGAGTCTGATATGGATAAAGCACTTATTGAGATGCAAAATTATTGTGGTCTAGGATATAAACCTATTCGTGTGAGTCTGGCTATACCAAAGCGTTATAATATAGATGGGAGTTTAGTTGTTACCAGATCAGTATTTGAATCAACTTCAGTAGTTCCTAGTGGTAAGTGTATATATCGGATTGTAATCCTTTCGTTCACATTAATCCCATCTAGATTCCACTACACTTTCTCTTTGTTTGTAATTTTCCATAGTGTGGGTTGATTCAGTTTTGTGTGAACTTTTTTGTTGTTAAATCCGTTAGTCGGTCACAAAATTGAGAAATGTACAATTGAAACTTATCTTTCGAGTCTTTTTTGCCAGGGTTCTTAATTCAGTAAAAAAAATTGAATAGGGAAATTTCCATGCATGACTATTTAGTATACGTCAGATGGAAAAGCTTTCAGATAACACCTACACAGTTCTAACTCGCAGATTCCATAATACTGATCTTTTATTACAAATATGTTCAGATAACTATGTGTTCCTAGACAGTACTAATTTCAGACACAGGTGTAGTCTGCTACAAACTTAATTGAACAATAGACGGTATCACCACATGTTAACTTCCTAAGGATATAGTAGAGGACTGTTGCTGCCTGCAAAGCACTTGCTTGAATAGTGACTAGTGCCGTGGTCTGTGCATGCAAGTGAAGGACAAATGGAAGAGCTTTATATGCTCTGAAGATATTAAAATAGTATTTAAAGAACAGTTGTCTCAGCATTACTCGTTCTGAAAAGGTCTGTAACTTATTTCTGTTATTTAAACAGTATTAGCTGTTCTGTTCCTTAAAAAATGGTTTGAAAGGACTAATGGATGTACCGAAATCCATTCCCTGAAGCTCTTGAGCACAAAAAAGTGCAAGCATAATTTATTATTTAATCATTATTCCCGTGGGTTCCGAGTAAAATATCGGGCTTCTACAGCACTTCTGTGCATTTCTTACTGTTCTCTGCATAACTTATTAGTCGGCTTCACGATTGTCTATAACCTTTCATTTCCTCTTTACACAATCTCTTTCATATCACCGTCGGAAGTTTCCATATTATGTCCTCGGGGCGATTAGTCTAGTTACCATAGTCTCTACAATATCAGTTTCCATACTCATCTTACGTCTAATCTCTAACAGATAGCAACAAATATTCGCAAACCTAACTGCAAGTGCATAGATCAAATAGTCGCTCTCCATCAGTACCGTGATAACAGACGGTCAGCATTAGCCTGTAGACAGCGTTTTACTACCTTGGTCGAGCGGTGTTGGAAAGGACACTTTGAGGAGTAATTTAGTTGGCCTACACCCACGCTCAGCTTACCCAGCATTCAACACTTCCATGAATGGAATATATAAACACAGGTCCTCCGTTCTTAAGTAAGGTTACAAAAGCTGTATGTAGTCTGAAACGAGGCAAAGAAGTGGGACCTGATGGAATGACTGCAGAGGTGGTGTTTAAGGACGGTGGAAACAGTTAACTGTCTGAGTTAATAAGGTAATAGACAGAGTCTGGGAATCAGAGATAGTCCTGTCGGGATAGTGTAATTCATTGATTATCCCGACATACAAGAAGGAAGACAATTGTTCCTATGATAATCACAGGGAGATTAACTTGACTAATATGGAGTTTTAGGCTCAATAATAATGCGTAGACTAAGCAGTGCTCTGGAAGAACTGACACGAAAGAACCGGAAAGGCTTTAGACCAGGAAGAGGGTGTATTGATCACATCTTCACTCTTCGCCAGATTCTGGAACATAAGCATACTTATCGGCGTCCAACAATCGTCATATTTCTTGACCTGAAAACGTCATTCGATTCTGTCGACCGAAATGTATTAAGGTGGTGTTTGATTTTCAAGGGAATGCCGAGAAAATAAATCTCAATGATCAAGGCACTCTACACGAACTCATTTAGTCAGCCAGGTGAAAGCCTGCGGAGAGTTGCCATCTGAAGTGGTGGCAACCAGTGGTGCCCGTCAGAGATGGCCACTTTCCCCATTTCTGTTTAATTTCATCATAGATATACTGACGGACTTAACCCCGACTGACTTCAGCGACTCAGGCCAGGACTGACTTGTTACCGGGTTGGGAATGGTCTCGTTGACCTAGAGTATGCCGAAGATGTAATAATAATAATAATAATGATATATATTTATTCCTATTCATGCAGGAACATACCAATTTTACAGGCATGGATAAGTTTTTATATAAATTACACATATTTCGATGTATGGTGAATTTACAGTTTGTTTGTTCTTTCTGACATTAGAGTCAGTGGTACTTCTCGGAGAAAACGCTGACAAAATGCAGAGTCTTTTGAGAACCTTTGGGAGCAGAAATCTGTGAATGTTTGGCATGCGATTCGCTCCCTTCAAGTAACAAATGACGCTAGAGGACTACTGGTCTGCATTGACTCCTAGCTTGAAGATAGGTAGTGAAGTAGCAGAACGTGTTAACCATCCCACCTTTTTGGGAAGTTGCATCAGCCAGCCCCAACGGGTTGATCGCTGACGAAATCTCAGCACGGATACAGAAGGCTAGTGCCGCATAGGCAAGCTTGCGCTGTCTCTGGTGTAGACGTGATATCCGGCTAGCTATCGACTAAAGGGCGTGTGTACTGCTCAGCAGTCCGCTCCTTCCTCCTTTATGGCTAGCTGTGAGACCTGGCCATTGAGAGGAGAAGACATGAAAAGGCTGGCTAGTTGTCTTTGATCATATGTGTCTGCATTCTGTCTCCCGTGTGAAGTAGTATAATAAGGTGAGCAATATTGAGGTTAGGCGTCGAGTGCTAGGTAAGGCGGGGAAATCAATCGATGAGGCTGTGAAATTACATCGACTGAGATGGTTAGGACATGTGTTACGTATGCCTAGTCATCGCCTTCCTCGACGGACGGGCAATGTTAGCTGACTAACATAGGATCAGGCTGGAAAAGAGCTAGCGGCGGTTAAACGAAAACATGGCACCAGTCAATGAAATCCACAACAGTTAGTCTAAGCCACGTAGGAAGGTGTAGACTTCCTGACTAGTTGGGGTCCTTGGGACGGTAAAAACCAATGGTTGGAAACAATTGGTGACATAGCTCAAAATCGTTCTCAGTGGCGCAGATGCATCCACTCCTTGTGACTTATGATTTCCAATGAAACTGTTTTGTTCTGCGTTATTACTACTCCTTTGTCTCACACCTCTGTTTACTGTCATTATTATGCATTTCTCCTACTTCCTTCTCTTGCTTTGTGTGCTACAAGGAGGGAGTGTGGCGACTTGAACTGCCGCACATATGTGCAAAGTTCTATGTCGAAAACAGACAGACAGATGACACAAGACAAGTAAATAGCAAGAAATTATATTTCATAGTAAATGAATATTGTTTGGTTGATAAAGTGGATTCAAATAGATATAAGTAGCGAAGCATGTTTTATCTAAATTTCAATCCATTTGTTATACAGCAGTCAATTCAGTTGTTTGGATAAAAAGTAATCTAGGTAGGTGGAGAGGGAAGTTGATTACTGAATCCTTGTTCATCGAATCTACACCCAACACATGCAATAGGAATGATTCATCACTCATACCCGAAATATGGAAAATATTACTACCAATCAAATCAAGTGAAAAACAATGGAACTATATAAATGAATTTAGGAAGTCGTGTGATTACCTTGATATGATTATGAGCAGTAATAAATTGTGCTCGAAACATGGTCATCAGTAAACATTACTGTATAACACTGTGAGACTTTATCAAAACAAAATTTACCCATAATGGAATTACACTCTACCACAGTGCACAAGTTTTATTCCTATATGAACCACCTTTTTGTCTATGCTGTTTTGTCATCTGCTTTTATTTTTTTCTCTTAAATTTTATCTGATTTATGTTTTCATCCACTAGAGCCTGAAGTCTTGTCGTCCGCTTGTGATGGTCCTCGACATGTAGATGATTTAGACGAAGTTTTCAATTTTTTGGAGTCATCAAGATGGCATATAACTGACCCGTCACTGGAATTATACCTTAAAATAAGACCATAAAACAGTTCAATTGAATCATTTTTTGTTAGCTGCTGTTTTTCATACATGAAGTACATTTCTTAGTTCTAAAGAGAAAAATGATGTAAATATATGTATACACTGCATTGGATTTTTGTATGTAATTTTTTTAGAGTGTTTAATAAAATTTGGTTTACAGAAATGCAATAACTTCTGCATTATTTTTACTTCATTTGTATTCACTTTTGTCAAGCCTATTTGTAATGCAATAACTTTTGAACTAAAGTATTGTCGTTAAAAGCAAATATAGGTTGAACAGCAGTAACATTAACCGTGACGTTTGCCCTCAATTCTTCACTTGATGCATGTACATGAAGCGATGTAAAAGATGTGTGGTTCAAGATTAAAGCGGAAATTTAACGGATTTTTCATACAATTCCTTACCACTATGAATTTACATCAGCTTAAGAGCACGGTAACAGTAATGGACAACACTTCAGCTCATGTGAAAAGTGCGACGTTATCTTATACAGTTCGTTCCCTTTGTTAAATTGGTTATATCATAACGAACTACAAGTGAAGCTGCACATTATTATCTTTTATTTCGTAGACTCTCTTTTTAAACTGGAGATCCTCCATCATCTACTCAACAAACACTTGCATTTCTAGTCAGTTGACAATGCTTCACACCTATTGCGTTAAGGATAGTTATATAGCCTGGTTGCTCAAGCCATGACTCGAAACGGTGGCTCAGACGTCGGAACCCGAAATTCTGACCAGATTAGTCACATCCAGGTAGTCTGGAAAGGCATGGTGCAAAGACAATATGACAACAGATTTTTATCAAGCAGATTTGCGCAACAGTGAAGAAGATAGGTATGCATCAGAAAACTTTATTTGATTATTCATCCACTGCGTTTATCATCGAACACAGATAATCTACACCACGTCTCATTCTAGTCTGCCATTTCATATTTCACTACGTCCACCATTTTACATAACACAAATTCCCCCACACAATGTCATATATATCACCCGGAGATAAGCCAATGCTTCCATCACATTCCACTTAAATTCAAACATATCAATCATAATCTGTGTAAAAATATTTGATTCTCTACGCTGGCTTTAATTATGAAATCACTAGAGACGCATAAGTGTGCAAATTGTTCCCCGTTGTCATTCATTTCACTGGCAGCCTCCCTCTTGCTACATGACAACTTCTCTTTCTGTATTGTCTGATCCTACTTTCACTGATGTTTGATTAAGCTACTCTTCTGTCTCGATATTTTCTGTGTGTTCAACCCAAATTTCATTAGGGTTGTTGAATAATTTGACAATTTTTCCGTGAGCAGGTTGTTGAGATAGAAATATGTGCTTATTTAGCCTTACTGATTGATTCGCTCCTAATTCAAACCCTTCTAACTGTGAGACTGTTAATTTTAGGTTCTTTTCCAGGTTTGTTGTAATTTCGGCGTTACTGTTGTGGCGAATAAATCGAATAATACCTATCTTGTTATCATTTTCTGTTCCAACTTTCGTTAGCCGCCTCATATCTTGTTGATGCCTAAGAAAATCTTTCATTCCACTTATTGCATAAGGAAGGTGACACTTTCTGACATAACTCAACCTCTTCACTCACGTTTGAATATATCGTGCATTTTACCCACTCCTATTTATAATCCCCCCTCCGCCTTGTTCTTCACTGCGCTTCTCGGAAAGGACTATCTATGTTATATTGCGTAGGATTTAGAAGTCCCTCACCAAGGTTAGTGGTGTACCTTTGCCCCAACAAACTGACTAATTGTTATTGATAGACATTTTAATTCTTGCAAGCAGATGGCTTAAGTCACATCCTGTCGGATACCCGATATCCTGTTTATTCTGCTGAACGTTGTTCTTTCTTTTTTCGCATGTCCTTTGGTAGAAGCAGAAATTTCACAAGAATTTATGCTCAAACGGCTAATAATTATTATAATTAGCACAGTTGTTGTGTGAAAACACAAATGTCAGAAAGGTGCTTATAAACTCAACTTGCAATGTTTAAATAAGCAGTGGTTTATTAACACTACTAATACCATGTATATTTTTCTTTTACATGAAGAAATGAAATATTACTAACGTTATGAGTAAAATTTATGAGCCATACTTCCTATTACTTAACCTTATTTCACGCAATTCGTAGATTCTCATCACTGAGACTTCGGTCACGTATATATATACACATACTTTCATATCATCACACTGTCTACAACACTTTGTATTCTCTGTTGGCCAGTACTTATCTCATGTTACGATCAGGTAATTAAATATAGGCGGTCATTTATCTCTGAGTAGCTGACGCCACTGAGCGAAAACAACCATTGCAAAATCAATCAAGAGTCGATAGCTTTTTCGTCCCAGTTCTACAGTTTTCCAATTTGATCCCACACGCAAACCAAATGCTAAACAATCACGTCCTACGCTTATGTGTGTGTGCTCCTACCACCAATTATTCTGACAAATTATTTGATTCACTGTCAACAGTTGGTTCCTGCTTACGTCTTCTCTCAGTTACAAACAGTAAGCATTCATACATACGCCAATCGAACAATCTGAAAAACTTATATGTCCCTTGAGCTTCTCCTTTAAGTTGAAATCAAAAATAACAGCTAAACATTCCACAATTACAACATTAGAATCTCTGTCGACAATCAAATGTTTTGCAAGTGAATGGCAAAATACGACTGCACAAAGACGTGTTGACCTGTCGTACTTCATCTTTCTCAACCTCAATTTAGATCACGTGGCCTATCTTTGTATCCGTTTATATATAAGGTTGAAACGAGAGACGAGGATCGATTCAGCTTCTTATGAAGCCATTCACTCACATTTCCAGATGCTGGTTTCGTCAACTGAACCATTGATCAATCCATAGATTGAACCAACGACTTCACGTTAGTACGTGACTCCATGAAAGATTTATTACCGATTACTCAAAATCTCTCAATTCCTTTTTTATCTTGACGCGCACATCACTACTTCTATGTAAGTCAGTAGGACATAAATCCGTGTATTGAGTCTTTAGTTCTCCTTAATGTGAACAGAGTCAATAAGGATCAATTTCAAATCATGAATAAGTTGCAACTGCTGAAGTACCTAATTTCAATAAACTCTCTGGTTGACTTCTATTTGCCAGCAACTTATATATTGCTATGCAACACAGTTCCTCATTTCACCATGTTGTTTTACCTGGGAGCTGAACGAAGACATCAGCGCTGCATCTGCAGTATTCGCCCTCGATTCACTACATCATGACTCTAACAGAATACAAATCTAGTTTCTATTGTGTCACAAAATGTACAATAAACACATAATGGGAGTAGCATAGAGAATAGTCAGAAGAATACTGTTGTAATTATTGTCAAGTAAGTTTACCATTCGAACAATGACAATAATAATAATAATTTCTAAGGAAAGAAAAGCATTACTGGTGATCGGGCCAGTAACAAACATTATCACATAGTCTGTGGGATGGAAATAATTTTCTTCGTTTTTAAGAGAAAGAAGTACCAATAAATATTCCCCTATGAAGGTTTATATTCTGAAAAGTACATTTTTGCAATGAAGAACACTTCTTGAAGGCTTCACTATCACCAGATGCCTCACTTTTTCTGCAGAGCATCAAGTTGCGCCTTAACTTCAGTGACTTGTGTCGACAAACGAGAATTCTCGTCCTTGAGAAAACGTAATTCTCTTCTCAGGTTGAGTTGTTTATGACCAAGTTCTGTTATCCTCTGCTGAACGAGATCAGTGTCTTCGAGGGATTTTTCTTGATCAAGTTCTAAACTCCTACAATAATGCCTACAAAAGAAATTGTGGAACCATGTAAGTGGCAGATAGACAGAGAGGTTGACAGCATGTCATTAACAAAAGTAAGGTGGTGTTTACAATTAGGAAAACGCAAAAAAAAAACAAAAATAGATTATTTAGACTAACTATTCCACTGCCCTATGGAGAAGAAAATGATATGAGATTGGATTAATTTTGTGTACAATACTGACTAACAGAGTTATAGCATAGAACTTTGCACACAAGTACAGTAGTTCCAGTTGCACATCAAGGTAAACAATAAAGAGAAAAAATAATTACAAAAGAATCATAATAAGCAGAAATATGCAAGAGGAAAAATATTGACATAGGAGAACATGACGGTGTAGTACATCCCAAAGTGTGAATGCTTCTGCGCCATTGACAACGATTTCAAGCCATATCATCAATAGTTTCCAGCCATTTGTTCTTATCACCTCGAGGACACCAACCAGACAGCCTATACATTCCTATATGTCTAAAACCAAGTGTGGATATGATTATGAGCAGTAATAAATTGTGCTCGAAACGTGGTCATCAGTAAATAATATTACTGTATAACACTGTGAATAGATTTTACCCATAATGGAATTATACTCAACCACAGTGCCCAAATTTTATCCTTATATCGATGAAACGTGGCAGTATTAGATGGTTGGAGGCAATCGGCCGCAGGAAGCCTTGCTTGACCTAGGTTTCGTGCTAGTTGGCACTCGTCAGTGGGGCGTATCGGCGACCTTGAAGGAACTCATGTCCCTTCTGAGATTCGAACCCGCGTCACTCAGTGCTGCAGTCATAGACGTTACCACTGAACTGTTCGGGATTGCGATTGACCTCCTGTAGGAGTTCACCGTGATGACGAGCTACCTAGAATGGTGGCCACATTGCAAACGTGACTGATAGAATTCAGTCTGCACCAAAGAAAGGACTAGACGCATCACACTAGTTACTAGTGCCCAATCAAAACATGGCAGTGTTGGACACTGGTAAGCATGTCTATGTTCCACAATTTGTTGAAGAGCAAAGGTACCATCAAAACACTCTCTCTCTTCCTGGTCTAAGGCCTACCTGGTTTTCTCGCACCGCTTAACCTCCGCATCGGCGTTATTGAGTCTACAACTTTAGATATTATTATATCAGTCAAGCTTATACAGGAAAGGCACACTTAGGTATCACACAATTTTTCTTTATAA